TGCCTAACCCCAGGATGTATGTCTTGCAAGAATAATGTGCAGCTGAGAAAAATTACTATGAGTTAAGTGTTTTGAAAATGCTATATAAACCCTTGGCTTTGAGTGCTCGGGGTCCTTGTTGAAACCCGCTGTGCCGGGCAGACACTTGGACCCCAGCTAGCTGGAATAATAATAAACCTCTTGCTTGTTGCATCGATCTGCTGTGGCCTTCGTCTCCTCACTGGGGGGAAGCACAGACCGGAATAAGGCTGTTGGGTCTTACATTTGGGGGCTCGTCCAGGATCGCGTGCCCCCCACCGGAGGAATGACAAGCCAAGGATCGGAGGCTTGCCCTGGCCAGGTATTACTGTGTTTGTGTCCGTGTGTCTCTTGTCAAACCTGTAAGAATGTTCTGTGTTTAATCAGAAAGTGCCTTGCAGGATGGTGAGTGCACCCAGTGTTTTTGTTCGCAAACAAGCCTGAAACCTGTGTGAAGCCTGTGGGAGATCCAATCTGTATCTGGGTCGGCATTGACTTAGGTGGACACGCTGGCAGGTCACCGACCAGGGGTCTTGGGAGACGTCCCTTGTCATTGTCTGGAGAACGAGGTCCTCATCTATGAGGAAAGTTGGCTGCCGCTGCAATCCAACAGGCCCTCAACTCAGTTTCAGTTTTGCCTCCGTGGCCGAGGCAGATTCTTCTCTGTATGCGCCTGTTTGTTGTTTGTCGTGTTTGTCTTAGTCTTGTTAACATAAGAAATGGGACAGACTCAGACGACCCCTTAAGTGTGTAAATGAATAAATCTTTCTACCTCCGGATGGTATTAATGAAATTGATTTAAAGACAAGCGCTTGTGAAAATTGAGTATTCAAAAACTTCCAGAAAATCTGATTAAAAATGTTAAGCATTAATGCTAATTTAGGTTTGGCTGAGGTGTGCATGTCCTTATAGTTATCAGCTGCCAAAGTTTAATGTCATTTAAGTTGATGTGACCTGTTAAGCATTTCAAGAAGATGCTTAAAGAAAAGCTTGACTTTATCAAATGTTTAGTAAAAGTTTTCTAAGTAATCTAGCATGGTTGCTAAAAATAAGTAAACAAGTGTAGCAAATAAACATCTTAATAATAATACTGTATTAATGTATAACAGTGTATACATATGCAAACAGCTTGAGAATTTTTGTGGTAACTGAAGGGTCCCCACCAGTAAGATGGCAAACTTCTGGCTTCTCTTCGGGGTCCTCGGTTCCCGCCGGCACCACCTGAAGCCCAATCACCTCTCGCCCCCCTCCCAATCCCAGCACCTAGCCAACAGCCA